TCATGACATCATAAAGTGGCCAAAATCTGATCAGCTCATTTTCAGACAGGTTTTTATAGAAATGGATCAGGACAAAAAGAGAGAGAATCTTTTTTTCCTGAAACTTTCAGAGTCTCTTTCCACAGAGGGGACACATGTTGATGTAGAAGAGACATGAAGAAGAGGGGACACATGTTGATGTAGAAGAGACATGAAGAAGAGGGGACACATGTTGATGTATAAAAGACATGAAGAAGTGGATTTTGCATAATAGGTCCCCTTTAAGAGTATTATTCTCAAAGTCAAACCTGGACTTTCTTGCTGGACATGGTGACGATGAAGGCTCGGCACTGTTTGTGGATTTCTCTGCCGGGTTTATGGAGGTTCTTCAAGAAGTCCATAAAGTCTTTGGACACCTGGTCGGTATCAAAGCTCGCTCGGCGGCTCAGAGACGGACTGGGAGTCTTTCCCTCTTGGGTTTCTGGTGAGGAAGAAACGCTTTTAGAGAAAGTGCTGCTGATGTTGGAAAGAAACTGCACCGAAACCATATTTTTGTGACTTTTTTTTTGCTTGTATTGAGATTAAATATAATGTGGAGTTGCTCTAGATTCTAGAGCAACTCCACATAGGTATGTAACCATTTAGAGTCTAAATGGTTACATACCTTTCTTGGGAGCAGAGCGAGACGAAGGGCTGAAGAACTTCTTAACGGTGGTCACTTTTCGTGTTTTCTCGTTGGTCTTCTTCTCCTCAAACTTGGAGAAGGGTCCCAGAGAGGCGTGTCCCGGCTGGGGGTTTGTGGACTGAGGGGGGGGCTGAGTCTGAGATCCATGACTGCTGGCGTACGCTGCCTCCTCCTCACGCTGCAACCTGTGGCAGAAGACGTTTTAATAGAGCAAACGCCAGAGATAAAGAGGGGATCATCAAATGCACGCTGAAGGGTCTTTGAGCATGTTTTCTCTCAGTGATTGTGATGTTATGTTAAATGTTTGTTGCTTGTTTTTCATGTATTTTGTCTTGATACTTTTCTATGTTGATGTTACACATGGAGCTGCTGTGATACAAGTCAAATTTCAGACTTGATCTGACCGTTAAAAAATTATCGTATCATATCGTATAATGGCGGGAAACTTTGGAGGAAAGCATCACAAGACTTAGGGGAGGGACGGTGTTGTTTTCAGTATGGATGGTGAAAGAATTATTCAATCCTTTATCAAGAATCTGCACATATGTAAAAATATGAACCAGCACAATTGACTTAGGGAGTAGGGAACATTTCATCCTTTATTACCAAGATTTAAAATCAACACATCTGGAGATTTATGGATTTCACAGGAAAAGGAAAGGGGATAAAAACAGTAATCTGAGAAATAAATAAAGCTGTCGGTTGAATAAAATAGAAATACTTAAGAGATGTGTTCTTAGTGAAGTACTTTAGTAAATGTACTGTTCTCTACTGGTAAACAAAAAAAGTAATAATAAGGGATTTAAAAACGGGGGTTGAAATGAATAAGTTGGTTTTTATATGTTATATATTTTTCTGAATTATACATGTTTGTTATTTTACTATTCTTATATATAAATATTACAAAATGTGAATAAGATTCTAATGTATATTTCTGTATCAGTTAGTGTAAGTGATGCCCAGTTGCTGACCGCTGTGCTAAAGCTAATGCTAATCCAGAACCTGAGAAATAACTTCAAGTTGACGAACTGCAGTTTTTGTGTATCTATGCCTTGACTTCATAGTGTTTCTAATTCTAACTACTCCACTTACTTCGCTGCCAGCGCCCAGTCGTCCTGGATCTGTTGATGGCGGACCTTCTGATATTCCTCTCTCCAGCACTTGGAGCACAGAGCCTGCCACGCCGCGTTGCCGTAGTAACCGCATCCATTTTTGCACAGCAGGTCCGATTGGTCGACGTGAATCCCGCCCCGACGCTCCGTCCGCTGACTCATGATGCCGGGTAACCTGCGATGGAAAAATCCTCATCTGATTTATCTGTGTACTTGTATGTGCTGCAGTATTCAACCCTACAGAGTGAATTTATACATATATTATTAATAAACACTTTGTATACAATATGTTTAATGCACTTATCAAAGTCAAAGTCAACTTTATTGTCAATCTTTCAGTTTGTGTGTACAGACGGAGAGATCGAAATACCGTTTCTAACAATCCTGAATACAAAAATACAAATATATATAAATATATGTATAATGCAAATATGTATATTATATGTATACACAATCAACAGACATATTTATACATATGCACACATTAAGACCTAAATAAATGCACAACAACAAAATAACAGTCACTTCAATATCTCACACGTTTGAAAACTAGACACACAACTCCAAATTAATATGTGTGCTAGGAAAACAATGTGGTTTGTCATAGCAACATACATTTTTTGAAGGTATTTAAAGGGGCACTCCTCAAATGCATGATGTTTTAAGTATGCAAGTCAAGTATACAACTGCTTCTTGTGGCTGTTACTATTATACACTACCTATTCGATTGTTATTACTCATGCATTAATGAAAAAGTAGGATTTTACTTTGCTGATGTGAAGCTCATTTTGAAAACATATCATCAACATAGATGATTATTTTTTATACTGGACTCATCTGCCGATTGTCTTAATTTGTTTCAGCTGTAACGTTACTGTTATATGCTGCTATGTAGTCAATTGTATTAGCTTTTAATATGCTACCAAAGCTGGGGTAAAGTAAAGTAGTGTAAAATGGAAATACTCAAACACAAGTAGCTTGAGAACTTGAGTACGTAAGAGTCATCAAATGCAAATGACGAAATTACCACATATTCATTGCTTAGTTGTTACAACAGTAATGCTACACAAGGCTTTGTTCTAGCTTTATTTGTGTTTTTCCTTTCATGTTTGGCCAGTCTGCAGGTCAGTTAGCTAACAAATGCTGCAGGATTTACCGTAGCTAATGACGTGGAGAGACGTAAGTTAAGAGACATATTTCGTTTCACTGATGACTAATGTTTTATTGATCATTTCATGCACATATATCGCTATTTAACTTACCTGTTATTATGTTTGCATCGATCCGGAGCACGAGCAGATCCTCCTTTCGGTTTTGAGAGCTGAGGAAACCTACAGGGTGCGGACAATGACGTTATCTCAACCCTGGCTTTTACAGATTTACACTGAATCTAGGAACATTAATTGAATGTAAGATAATAAAACAGCAGCAGAGTTTGTGCTTGAACAAACGGTTTCGAACGTAGAGTATTGCTTTTGTTTTGTTTAATGTGTGGGTGATGTCACAGGTCTATTTACTTCCGCATTGTGGGACTAGTTTTCAAGGATTGGACAAGTGGGTTATGGCCGGACAAGTGGCTTCACGCATGCGCAGAATGCATCGTCATTCATCACGATGATTTAGTTAAATCGTGATCGATCATCTTCAAAGGTGGAAGAAGAAGTACTCAGATCTTGTACTTCAGCAAAAGTAGAAGTACCAGAGAGTAGGAATACTCTGTTACAAGTCAAAGTCCTGCATTCAACATTTTACTCAACCAGAAGTACAACATGGTGGCATTAAAATATACGTAAAGTAGCAAAAATAAAAGTAGTCATTGTGCAGATTGGTCCATTTCAGAATAATATATGATGTGCTTTATAATGATTGATCATTAAAGTGTTATCAAAGCTGGTAAAGGTGCAGCTAGTTTGAATGACATACTGCAGGGTAGCTTGTGAATTTACTCCAGCTGTAACTAAAGTTTGATTTAAGGGTTGATTATATTTCACATCATTCATCCAAATCTGTAAAGTAACTAAAGGCATTTACATCAATGTAGTGGAGTAAAAGTACAAGATTTAACTCTGATTTAGTTGTATTGGTAGTGTGGAGTAGAGGAACAAAGTAGCATCAAATGGAAATACTCAAGTAAAGTACACATATCTAAAAACTATACTTAAGTTCAGTATTTGAATAAATCTACTTAGTTACACATTTTATCTACTTTGTTCATTTATATAAGAACTGAAGTGTAAAAACAGATAGTTGAGTCTCTGCACATTTGCACATTCTCACACCAGATACAGTCAGTTTATGGACATTCAGAGGAACACATTTCTGGGTCTCAGTGAACAAACTCAATAGTCTGCTGACTGTGCTTATTGGCATTTGGGTTAATGTTCAATGGTCCTAGTCTGATAACAAAAAGTGCCGTGCAATCACTTGTATGTACCAGTAACACAACTGAAACAGTTGGTCATGATAAAAGCGTGTTGTGGCAGAGATATTTTATTCTAACAGTTTCCTTTACTCTGTCACAATTCTGACATTCTTCACATTCTCTATGCATATTGATTCTTCATGGGACAGACTGTGTTTAATGCTGCTTAACCGCGCTTTAAACTCCTGCTCTTTCGACCTTTAGCAGGAGAGATGGAACATATATCAAAGTGTGTTAATGCTTAATTCAAGGTAATTGTACTTGAACCTTTCTATTGTATGCAACTTTATACTTACATTATACATCAGAGGGAAATCAATTACTTTTGTTTTGTTATTTTAAGTTTATTAAAGCTGTCTGTTTGTATAAACCATTTAAATAGACGTCTCATTTGCGAGAGATTTCGTGCTGATAACGCCTTTTCTGACTGGGGAGAATAAACACACAAAGGCAAGTTTATTGATATAGCACCTTTCAACACAAGGCAATTCAAAGTGCTTTACAAACATGAAAGGCATTAATAAAATGGCATTTAAAAACAGTCATTAAAAAGCAAAGATAATAAAATAAACATTAAAATAAAAGTGCAGTTTAAGATATCAATAGTTCAATTAAAAGCAGCGGCAAAAAGAAAAGTCTTCAGGCTGGATTTGAAAGTAGTCAGAGTTGCAGCGGACCGGCAGATTTCTGGGAGTTTGTTCCAGATATTTGGAGCATAACAACTGAACGGTGAACTGAACAAAGGGTCAGAAACACAGATAACACAGATACCACACACACACACACACACACACACACAGACAGACAGACAGACAGACAGACAGACAGACAGACAGACAGACAGACACACACATAGATGTAGCCATGATCCTGACTGGTGGTTCTTTATGTCTTCCCTCTGCAGCCACCGTCCAGGAGCTGTTCTCCGTGGCCCGGGATGCCAGCATCGTCCCAGACATCTCCTTGGATCCTGTCCTCACCTCCTTCCTGTCTCTGGATTCCTCCGCGGCCCTTCAGCATCAGTACGCCTCCTTACAGCGAGGCTTTAGTGGCGAGCAGCAGGCGGCGTTCGGCCTCAGTCTGAGCGGAGAGTTAGGAGGCAGCAGAGTCTCCTATGGAGGGGTCGGGGTCGTTGCTCTGGCTCTGTCCCTGCTTTTTGACCAGGTCGCCCAACAGGTGGGTTTGGTTTATTGTTTGTTAATGTTGGGAAAATATTGAATATACTCTTCCAATATGAGAGTACAAATGATATCAAAGGTATCCCAACTGTAGCAGACAGGATGTATGATGACCTAGAAGAGCATCAGGACTGTTTGAGGCATATGATAGCTATGTGATTAACATGATGATTCAGCCTCTATGGAGAGAGACATANACCGTAACGACCTACCACAAATGTAAATGTTTAGTCGTCATTAATATAGTGTTTTAATAAAATAGCAATCGTGCTGTTTATTAATACTCTTGTATAGGTGACGGGTATTAATTGTTTACTGAAAAGTTAATGTGGTTCTTTTTTACAAGAAAATTTATTTAGCGTGTCCCGAAGGGCTCAGCACCCAACTGTACATTCGTTTAGGTGAGTGAGTTTGTGAGGTAAACAACTCTCGGTCGGAGAAAAACTACGTAATTATGAAATTTATGCAAAAAGTATTTAATTATAAAACTGACCTGTAAACGTATAAAGGAAGTATGGAGGTCTTGCAAACTCACAAATACATTTGCAAATGTAAAACGGATCTGCAAATAGGCTAAATATTTTTACAAATAAAAAAAAGATCTTTCAATATCTCTTTAACAAATACAACTTTCGATCAGGCATTTGTGAATCCATTTTGTATTTGTCGACCAAATCTCTGCTTCTGGATCGTATTTTTACACACACGGAGTTTTGAGACTAAAATCTACTCGTGTCAGTCGGTTATTTTCGGAAACCACGTGTCGACATTTCCGCATGATTTTCAAAGTAAGAGCATGATGGTTTGTTTAATGCACTGTTTTTTTAATGAACAGCGGAACGTTAGATGCATTCTTTATCACCATCATCATCATGTTCACGTCAAATAAAAATAAAATCAAGTTTTATTTATAAAGCACATTTAAAAGTGATTTTTGGTCGAGTCAAAGTGCTGTACATGTAATAAAAACACATTACTACAATCACAATAAAAGACAATAATTTACAACAGAAATATAAAAAACACAGGGAATAGTCAGGTGTCATGCTCCGCTCTGACTATAAGGCCAGGGAGAATAAGTGTGTCTTTAGTGAGGATTTAAAAACCCCCAGTCTCGGCCGACCTCACATGGAGGGGCAGAGTGTTCCAGAGCCTAGGGCCAGCTGCTGCGAAGGCTCGGTGACCTTGGGTTTTGAGCCTGATCTTGGGCACTACCAGCAGCAGCTGGTCAGCAGACCTTAAAGCTCTGGCTGGGGTGTAGCGATCGAAGAGTTCTGCTATATAGGCCGGAGCCAGCCCATTTAGGGCTTTGGAAACAAATAAAAGGAGTTTAAAACCAATTCTGAACCGAATTGGAAGCCAGTGTAGGCCAGAGTTGGGGTGATGTGGTCACGCTTTTTGTGGCCAGTCAGAAGACGTGCAGCTGCGTTTTGGACTAGCTGCAGGCGTTTAATTGAGGCCTGGTCCATACCCACATACAGAGCATTGCAATAATCCAGTCTCGAGGAAACAAAGGCATTAATAACCCTCTCTAGGTCTTTAAAAGATCAAAACGACTTGATCTTGGCCAATGGAGATGAAACTCAGAGAGACACGAGGAGAGCTGGAACTTTGATGGCAGACATTGATGGTTTATTATAAAGTTACGGCTGGAGAATTCACAAGACATGTGCTGCTGCCATGAGGTTACACAGCGGTTGTTAAACCAATTCTGAAGATCTCATCTGCAGTTCAAGGTTTTAACTAGTTCAGAGTGTAATAATCAACATTCCTCATCAGTGAGACTAAACAAATATGGACCCTGAATCTAACTAGAGCTGTCGTCCATAGAAAAGAATATGTGCCAGGGACAAGAAGAGCCTCTAGATGTCCCTGAACATTAAACTATCTCATGGCGGCTTGTGCTCGGTCATAAACTGGCATCAACAATGTGCCCAAGCTGCTCCCCCTTAAGAGAGAGAGCAGCAATACCCAGGGCCGTAGACCGATGCCATGGGAAAGGAGACAGTGAAAGGAGAAAAGGATGAACTGTGTCAAAGGTTGAATACCTTAGGAAATTATTCCCCAACACTCTGTAGAGCTAAAAAGGTTCAGAGCATCCTCTAACATGTGGTTCAAATGTTGTTGTTAGTGAAACATCTTCACAGTTATTGGTTTGATTGGCATGAGATTCGACCCATTGCACTCGCTTTTCTGTTCACATACTTATGTATATATAATAACTTGCTTTATATTTTGTTATTGTTATTGTTCATTTGTAAATTCAACATGTCTATTTTCTACTTTTTTGTTTGTTTCTAGTCTTTTTAATTGCCATGTCTTTTATGCTGCTGCAACACAAACATTTCCCAAATTGGGATCAATAAAGTACCATCTTATCTTATCTTATCTTATCTTACTGGTCAAATAAAGGACAAAAACATTTCAAACTAAGGGTACACAGACTCAAATGTTGTTGTTTTCCACCAGGTCAGAGCCCATGGATCAGCAGACGGAGAGGCTTCAGCTCAAAGGTCCCAGGTTAAAAACATCTTAGGCATTAGCAGATCTTCGAGGATTGGCTGGATCATCCACAGCTTCCTGAACCTGGTCCCTGGCGTCGCCAACGACCAGGAGAAGATGGCCGAGACGACAGAGCACCACGACAACTGGCTGAAGCTGGAGCTGATCGACCATTACGAGAGGATGACCAAGAAGAAGAGGATGAGTTCAGCGTCGATGCAGCAGTGGCTGGCGGGAGCTGCGGTTCATCTGCACATGAGGATTCACCAGGTCAGGACGGACAAATAAGTCTGCTTTAAAATATATAAACTTAAGAGCAGAGATGGCAAAAGTACACACACCCTTTACTCAAGTAGAAGTACAGATACTAGTAAAAATACTCTGGTAAAAGTAGAAGTACTGACTAAACCTCTTTACTCAAGTCAAAGTAAAGAGGCTTTGAAATGTACTTCAGTAAAAAGTACCCATAGCTAGCAGCTGTTTTAAAGAGTACCTGACCTCCCTTTATATTAATAGAACAATAATGTCATTGTTAGCTAATGAATGTTTCCATGCTGAACAACGGCAACATGACAACGTTTTCATTGGTCCCTCTTCTTTAGAGAAGACCAGGAAATGATGGATACACGGATCGTGTTCAAATCAATAGGCACGCAATGACTCTAAATAATAATGATCACGCCACCAAACACACATTCAAACTAAAGGAACCAGCCTGTTTGGAAAATGTGAGAAGTAGAAAGTACAGGTATTTGTGTTCAACATGTAAGAAGTAGAAAGTACAGGTATTTGTGTTCAACATGTAAGAAGTAGAAAGTACAGGTATTTGTGTTCAACATGTAAGAAGTAGAAAGTACAGGTATTTGTGTTCAACATGTAAGAAGTCAAAGTAAAAAGTAGTCAGAAAAATAAGTAGTGGAGTAAAGTACTGATACTAGAAACATGTACTTAAGTACAGTAACACAGTATTTGTACTCCACTACTTCCCACCTGCTTAAGAGATATAAAATAATATAAAGTACAGGAAGAGGCAGAACTTCAACATTATAACATTGATACATGGACATCAATGCATGTTACAGAAGAAACAAAACAGCAGTTGAATTGTCTTTTAAGCATATTTCGTCACAGTTTTTTGTCAGATTAGTAAAAGGGAATGCTTTTCCTTCTGCCACGGTTAAAGTCGCCGCTCTCAATTAGAAAACATGTCCACTGCAAATGTTGGCAACATGTATGTGATAATCATTGCATTATTGCTCATGAATGATACAGCAGAACAAAAAAGAGAGACAGGAATGATAATGTTCCTTTGTAACTTCAGGGTGAGGGAACCTGTTCTAGCCGCTTTAAGGTTTGCATAAAGACAAATATTAATTGGAAGCTTATAATTGGATGAAACTCTTGTATGCTGGGAGTCAGACATGCAAATACACGCCTGACCTCCACACCTCTATTTCCCTCCTCTCCACAGGGACACTGCATCCTTTTGCCAATCAAACAATAGATTGGCAAAAGGCCCTAACATGTTTTCACACACACGCACACGCACTCATGCACGCACGCACGCACGCACGCACGCACACACACACACACACACACACACACACTTAATATTTATCTTGCCTCTTTCTGTTGTTGAATTATGTGTCAATGTTGTCATTTTGTGTCTCTTTGTAGCTTTGTCCTGTGTGTTTGATGATTTTCACTTGTTTGAGTGTTTGAATTTAATTTATGTCAATTTTGTGTTGTTGTTTAGTCCTTTTAAGTTTAGTTTTGGTTGTTTTGCCCATATTCATAGCTGCAATTGCTGTTGTGATTCTCTGTGTGTCTCTTTGTGGTTGTTTTGTCCATTTAAGAAGTTCATTCTGAGTCTTTTTGTTTTGAGTCTTTTCGGGGTCGATATGCGTCTCTTTTTGACACTGAAAATGACACTGATAATTTCTGAAGGGATCTGATCTAGAATAACTTCTCTCCTCTTGTTCCAACAGGTCCGTCTTCACTCTGTTCCTTTGGGATCAGCAGAGTCGCTGCGTTTCTCCTATAAGTCGGCGTTGAGTCACCTGGTGCAAGGATACACATCCTATCTGCACAGAAACATCCAGGAGACTCCAGCATCCAGGAAACCCAGAGCAAGGATCGTCAGTCGACCAGAAAATACAAATATCAGCTGCTCAAGTAATCACATTTCTAATAATAGCCTGGTTAACTTGAATGAGACTGGCACACCCAATATCACAGCAGGAAACAACAGACGTTGTATAACAAACACACCCAGCGGAGACTTTGGATCTAAGGTGACAAACAGAAGCAAGGTGACTGTTGGAGTGAACAGAGAGACACTCAATGATTCGATTCGATACGAGGACGTTCAGGGTCTGATAGTTATCGAGCCGTGGAGGAATGTGAGTCACGATGTGCAGCATCACCCATGTAAGTCTCCGGCCATACAACAAGCTCTGGTGACGCGTATAATAAACGCTCAGGACCTCGAGAGGAACAGAAACTTCTTCCTGTACCAAGAGAAGGTTCTCCTCAGCTTTCTCAGGCAGAGTGACGACTTCGAGCTGAAGACAAATTAGACAGAATTAGAAAGTAACTAAGTAGGCATTTGGTACAGTACTTAGTGGAGTAGAAGCACAAAGCAGCATACAATGGAAATACTAAAGTACAAGTATCTCAACATTTTTGCTTAAGTAGCCTACAGTACTTACGTAAATGTACTTACCGTAGTTACTTTACACCACTGGGTTTTGATAATCAAAATCTTGTGTATGGGAAAAGTTTGACATGTTGGGAAATGGACTTATTGAATACATTTCAGACAGTTAGATTTGAAAAATAATCATCTCTAAAGTTAAATAATTAACACGTTACATGTGGTTTGTTGTGTTTTATTTTCCATGGTTGCCAGTCCAACTGTTTTCTTTCTTCTTCATACGGAAATATAAGGAATACAATAAGTAACATAAAAGAAGAAGAAAAAGAGTAAAACAATGATTTCTAGCAGGAAAAAAAAACGAGTATTTTAATCACATTTTTGGAAATATAATCAAATTTAAATTGAAAACATGTTTTTAAGGAATTGTACGTCCTTTAGTTCTGGTGTCTTTCTTATCTGATTGTCAGTCTTTGTATTGTAGTTTTGTTTCATAGTGTTGGTTTCATTTCTGGCTATTTGCATGAATGGAAATAACAAATTCATGAAAAGGTTACTCCCTTCCCTTCACTGGCATGTTTTCATTAGTGGATATAGGCTGCATTTATTATACTGCAGGCACGGACAGTAGAGTGAAAACTATTACAAAATTTAGATAGTTAACTTTAGTCTAAGTTATCTCAGTGGGTCTCAAACAGTTTGGTCACGATTAATGTAAACAATTATTTCCGAGGCACACGTTTATATGATCATTATAGTTATAAAAAAACAAGAGAATAAATGAAAAACAGGTTGGAAATATTATATGACGGTAAAAAAATAATACAGTTTAAAAGAGGAGTGATTTGTAAAATATCCATAAAGAAAAAGAAAATCTGTTTACAGTTCTGAATATGGGTGTTGAGAGATGTATCCATAGATCTCTCCATTTTGCTCTCAAAGTGCACCAGATTGATGCTTTTAACTTCAATATTTAAAAATAAATCTTCCCGGGGGAGCATGCCCCCGGACCCCCCTATGTTAGGTCCACTCCCCACTTATAAAAATAGCACTTTACCCCTGCTTACACCTATATGCAGTGAGCTGATTATCGAACCTTCATTGTAACTGTCGCGGGTACACTGTGTATTTAAGCGGGGAGTGTTGCAGTAGAAAATTCCACTGTTGCGCCCGGTACATTAATGGGAAACCCTAAATGTTTGAGCACCATCTAAGAAACGTCAATAAATTATTATGGGAAGTGCCCTTTTTCTCACTTGAGCACCCGCCCCCCAAAATGTCTGTACACGTCCCTGCTAGTTCCTATAAGTGTAGTTTCATTTCATGCAATAGGTTTCATTTCAGTACCTACAACTCAAATTTAAAAGGGTTTTCCAAGCCATTGTACATGACCGCAATCTGATCTCGCCCTGTCCCTTTAAATGTAGTTTCAATTCATGCTTGGACTGTACACTAGGTTTCATTTTAGGCCATTTATGAAAACAAAACTTACCATGAATATGTTGACCCCTTGTTGCCTCTTTTCTCTCATTAACCGAGAATAATGCAGCTGAACTATACTTCAGGAACGAATCATAGCCTTCAAAGATCACTGCAATCCTAACATAATAAATAAAGACATCACTTCTGTGGAAATTCAAATATATCAAATATAGTTTAATGTACGTGACTGGCCACAGGGGGTCGACATTTACGTCTGTACTGGAAATACATAAGGAGAAGAAGAAGTGCAACGTGCCCTATCATCACGTGACGACGACAGAAAGTGGCTCAGCGAGGCGCAGAAGCGTGGGACTGCGTGAACACTTTTAACTTCCGCACACTAATATGAACAACAAGAGCTGCCCAGACGACCGACACTGCTAAGCGTCCACACATTTAGTTAAATCAAGGTACGTTGTGTCTATTTAGATACTAAAATAACACCGAACATACGGTTTAAAGACCGTGTATTGGTTCCTCCTCACGAGGTACGGGAGCGGTTGCCTCGCGCTACGACGTGTACAAAAGTGTCGTAGTGTTGATTAACAGGTATTAAACAAAAGCTGTGTTTTAAAATAATGTATGTGATATACTACATTTACAACCAAACAGGTCAATTTAACTAGCTCCTAACCTTGCTATATGAGACGAACAACTGTTAAGATGGTTTTGATAAAACTACGTAGGTTGGCTAATGAGCTAAACAATGCTAACATCATATTGAAAAAAAACCAAGCGTTAGCATTCCCGCGAGTTTAACCGACTCAACTTGAAATATAAGTGTTCCCGCATTTTAATACACTACGCCATTATTAATGTTAACATTGTTTGCTCACATTTTCCTTTCTTATAATCACAACTGAGACATTAAAGTTGAAAATGTATTATATATACAATGACTTGCTGTTATTTTAGCTAACTGTTGCTTCTAGGTGCAGTGTCCAAAAGCATGAGTAATGTACATGTAATGATGTCAACTCAAGCTAGTTGTTTGGTAATCGACCACACCCTCAAGAAGTTGGCTATCGTTTAAACAACTGTAAAGTAAATGTGTGTGTGTACTTTGTAGGAAACATGTTACTGCCTTTTTAAAAGGACAAAGCAAAGACACACGTTCAATTCAAACAAGGGAAAATCACCAAACACACAGGACAAAAGCTAAGTGACGCAAAAAAGCAACATTGACAACTAAATCGACAACAGAACGAGGCAAGATAAATACTAGGTGTGTGTGATAAAAGAAGTCATTGTGCAGTCATTATGTTCAATGTCAATACAGGAACTAATACCACAAGTAAAACTCATTATTAGATAAACTGTATGCAAGTAGTGATGATAACGTTGATAACGTTTTAAGAAGGTGTTTTACTATTATATACAGTGTTTCCCCTAGGTTTAGGGGGGGGGTGTTGTTGGGATATCAATATGTTTGTAATCCTCTGAAGCAGAGAGAGGAGCTGTGGATTATTGTTATTGATTAATGCATCAGTGTTTCATAGGGTACTGTATATAGTAAATGTGAGGTAAAGTGTCGCCAATGTAACCGGTTTAAACTCAGTGGCGATGAGGTGTTAAAATGTAGGAAAGGGTCTTAAAAGGTATTATATTTGTCTTCAGGATTCCTGCATATACCCTGTGAAAAGTGACAGTAGATAGATAAGTTGCAATTTGGTTCTATAAATATGTATTATTATTATTATTATTATTATTACAAAAACACCATTGAATTTCAGGGGGCGCCAATCAATGTGAATACTGCATTTAACTGCTGTGGATGTTAAAGGTTGTGCTAAATGAACCTCCTTTATATAACGGTGCATAATTTCTATAAGATCATCATATGTTCAGATAAACAGCTGGTTTTTGTTTCATCTTTGAGTTTCCCTGGTTTTCCCCAGACAGGAAAGGAGTATAAAGTAACGTTGAATTATTTAAAGTGATTTATACCATTGTTTTTTTTTTATACAGATTTTGACAAAATGTCAGACTCTGATTCTGAAATTGGAGAGGAATGGGAAGCGATCCATAACCGCACGCCTGTTGTAAGTTGTGGATCAAAATAAGAGCAAATGGCCAACTTATCGAATTTCAGTTTTTACAACTTTTCATTCATCCTTCTCAGAAACTTTTGACCAGAAATGATACCGTTGTGGCCCTCCGTCCGCAAGGTAAGGAACATTTAGATTTTAATACACCTTTTTATTTTGATATCCAGTGCTACATTGATTGATGTATGTATGTATTGGGGCTGTCCCGAATACCATTTGTCGGATTCCGGATATTCGGTAGGAATCAGCAACAAAGATTCAGATTACAGATTATAGGTATCTCCTTTCTTTTTTTTTAAATCAAATTGCCGATACGACTTTGGCTCTGAATGCATCCGTTTCTCTGGCTGCAGTCACCACTGTTCACGAGCAATGTCCTGTTCACGAGCAATGTCCCGCCCACAGCGCTATCTGATAGGCTATTACTGAAGTGTCAATCAACACTGAAGATTTTCCGGGCTCCAGACAGGCGGGACCTTCTCAGATTACAGGCAGGTGCGAAGAACACAGACACAGACAGAGGCAAGCAGCAGCAGTGAGCGGTGTTTCGAAGGTAAATCAGTTGACAGCCGAAATGCAATAAACATCCCAATCCCCTATGCCGAAGTTGCAAAAACACCACAATCTAATTCTATCAGTTTCCCAGTTACAAAGGGACCGGGGGGGCTGAGATTGTATATATTTCCTCATTTTAACAGTACAATTTAAAAAGTATAAATATAGGAATGTGGCAATTCGCCTTTATTGATGGCATACATTTAGAAGAAAAAGAGAAAAACTAATAACGAGATTGAAAACCGAATAGTAGGCCATGACCAAATATTCGGGTACAGCCCTAGTATGTATGTATGTAATATACTAAAGTATCCACATGCTTGCACAGTACTTGTCTCGTTTAATGTGAGTATTAAAACAATTTCACTGAATGAAAACATTCGATCTTTTAGACGTAAAAGTACAGATAACGTAAAGTTAAAGGAGATTTGAGGACTCATATTATTGATTTCTGAGCTTAATACAAACAGCAGATAAAAAAATAATAGTTTAATAGCTTCCTGTATTAGAGTAGGCTCTTGTGTATTGATTGGGCTTTTTCCAAACTTGAGATGGTAAATGCTCTACAGTACCTTCAGCCAGATGAATATAACTGTATATTCTGCATGTTCTTTGTTTTTTAGAGATTGTTTTTGACAATTGGAGTCAAATTCCTCTTGAAACCAGAAGACAAGCCGGGGAACGGATGAGAATTTGTGCTTTCTGGCTTCCCCTGCTGCTGCAGCGCGACGAGCCCAGCAACCCTTCCTGCTGGGCTTACCAAATAGATCTGATATCAAGGTAGGCACAGTTATGATCGGGATCTGAATATGTGTTCGAACCCTCGATTATTAACACTTTTATCTTCAATGTTTAGTCCATTAAAAGATTGTTGAGCTGTTTTTCTTTCTTTTGAAGTGATACTGACGATCTGGATATGAAGCACTTGCAGAAGATCGAGACACTAGAGGCCATCCTCAGAGCCTTGGAGAAAGGAACGGTGTGTTGAATATTTAATAGTTCAGTATAGTCTAAGAACTATGGAACAAGCGGAGCTTAAAGGTCACCTATTATGCAAAATCCACTTCTTCATGTCTTGTATATATAAACATGTGTCCCCTCTGTGGAAAGAGACTCTGAAAGTTTCAGGAACAAAGATTCTCTCTTTTTGTCCTGATCCATTTCTATAAAAACCTGTCTGAAAATGAGCCGATCAGATTTTGGCTACTTTATGATGTCATAACGAGTTTTTGTCCTGATCCATTTCTATAGATACTTCAATTTGGTTCGTCATGATTTGTAGATGTGATTTGCACCCGAGCACCCCTGGATAAATTACCGTACAGCCAATCACAATGCGTGACGTCATTGGTAAGAGACGGCCCCCGAACACATATGGTACTCACACCGGCGTTTTATCCAGTTTGTACACAACGATGGAGAAACTTGACCAGCTGCCTACTGGGAATCTGGTCTACCGAAGAGGTACAGAGGAAGCTGGAGCACAATCGGCCATTGTCGGTGATTTATTAACTCCTTCATGCATGAATTACAACAAACTAAGGATATTTTCATCTTTATGCATGTAAAAAAAGAACAACGAAAAATTAAAACAAGGAGTATTCAATTGAAGTAATATATGTTGAACAAACCAATGAACAAAAATGATATATTATGAAAAACTACCAAATACAATACACACATTTATATTTTATATAAAATAGTGTTTTCTATTAAACTTATTGTACTAAGATTATTTTGTAATTATGCATGGTATTTTTTAATTAACATTTCTTTTTTTTGTTTATCTCACGTACTCCCTGCAGTACCCCAACGTACCCCTAGGTTTCCGCGTACCCCCATTTGAGAATCACTGTCCTAGCGCACCATTGTGTTCTTTCTAACCAAATGTCTCTCAGAGGGGCGTGGGGAGTGGCTCCTTATTTTCATCTAAAGTAACAGACAGAATCAGCACTTTGGAAACAGGGGGGATTATGGGTAATGCTGCAATGATCTGTTTGGTGTTTCAGCCAATCAGAGACAGGTTCTGTATATATCTGAGACCTATAATATATTGGTGAAAAACAGTATCATAGGGGACCTTTAAACTACAAGCTACTCAGTTATTTTTGGATACAGAAGCAACACCAACCTGTCTGAGATAAGAATCCTAAACTGTTCAGAATATATAGATCAAAGTCGATTTTTTTTCTGCGTTGAATTGACATTTCTTGTTGGTTCTCTGTTCCAGGTTAAAAGGGACCAAACTAAACACGTTATCTGGATCAGCAACATGTTTAACTTGGTAAGTCTGCGAAAAGCGATTGTTTGCATTGAATATTCGGAAAGGTTATCAATGAATAGAATACAAGTAAAGGTACTTGAACAATGGCAGAGGCATTGCTGCTCTTCTCTAGCTTTTGGTTAATAATAATAATGATCATGCAGACATACGTCAGCGCTCAAGGTACAACTATATTTATCGATTTATCAGTTGGACATTTTAAGTAAAAAACAATCTGATGCCATCAAATACAAACTCTTTGCAATGAGTAACACATTATGAAGCTTAAAAGAGATGTTAAAGAAGTTCCATGATGATATTTGGATCTGTGGTTTGATAGATTTGTAGTGCTGTTTCACTTTGGTCAGTGTCTGCTCCAATCCTTATTATTATTATTATTATTAAGATTTGGTAATGTCCAGGTGTAACCAATGTGCTTTACTTACTGATTCTTGTCATTGTTGTTAATAAAGTCAGTATTTCTTCAACGTGTTAATGAGGAAAAACATCAACCATACTTAAATGTTACATTTCTTGTGAGATTAACATTTGTGAAATGAAGGCACTGGTAAGAGAACCAATTTTAGTACTAGAGGACTTTCTGAGTTGAGGCATTGTGAGACACATTGTCGGGTTGATGCATCCTTAGAAATTCCCGCTGTTTCCCCATCTTATATTAAAATTCAATAAAAAATACTTTGTCCTATGCAACAAGTGTCAAAGATACAATAACGCTGAATACATGCCTACTGCCTCTGCCAATATAAGGGTTGATGGTTGAATGGTTCTCTATTTGACATATTTCTCTGACTTTGTACCTCAGCGCACCCCAGAGGCTCTGAAGGATGCAATGTGCTGGTTGGAGAGAACGGGAGAGCCTGGCATCCGGCATCGTGTCATGAGCCTCGGGCATCCCCAGATCTGCTTCACAGCGCTGCACGTCATCTTCACAGAGTGTGAGACACAAAGCAATTCAATGATGACAAGTTACTTTGCATTATCCTTTCACAAAACATACGTTTTTTTGTAAATCAATCAATCGGGCTCTACGGGCGGTGCAGCATTTGACGCCCTCTGTCTCACAAGGAATAACTCCCAACATCAAAGTCAGGAAAAGCGTTATTTTAAAATAAGTTGTCACCTTTTGTTAAGTGGAACCTTTGTCTCGACGGCCGCCGTATAGTTTGAGTTTCCTGCCGTACTCAGATAGATGCACATTGAAAACTCATAGAGGAGTTGAACCACGTATGAGATAATGGTATAATATAAAGTCATTGATGCTGGCTGGCTGAATTGCTAATGGAAGAATGAATTGTCACTCAGCTGTAATCCTTTTTATAGTTGCTTAAATGTGGACATTAGATCCTGACAAACCACTGCATTATTTGATAAGGAATATATCTGCTGATAGTCGATGTTGCTACTAGGGATGCTCCGATCGATATCGGCCGATGCTCACTCTCTGCCGATCGATCGGTGCTCTCTAAAAATGCCGATCGGGAGAGCCGATTGCATGACGTAAAAGACATGACACTTTTCTCTGTGCTCAAAACAAGCTCGCCAAAATGGCTTCTTCACCGGTATTTTAAGGTGTCCGAAAAAGACAGTAAAATAGCGGTATGCAACGTGTGTGAAGCAGAAATCCTGCAGCTCTGCCCGCTGTGACGGACCGGTGAGCGAAGCAACACACACTAAGAGTCAGACCTAAACCACTTAGCTATTTTATCTACCTCTGGAACAAAACTAGTTATAAATATCTTTATTCTTCACTGCCGGGTCACTCACTACTGGATCAGTGAGCTGCATGAGATACTGACAGGTTGTCAGGGGAGAGGGGAAAAGAGAACGCTTTCTCCCGTGTTATTCTCCAAAGTTAATGTAAACTTGAATAATGTACTTCATTTGAATGTAATAATGATGTTGGTTGTTGTTTGTGGAAGCGCCAGTGAATAAGCTCCATTAATTGAGTTTTAAACATCACTTTAAATTAGGGGTGCAACAACTAATCGACTTAATCGATTAAAATCGATTACCAAATTAGTTGGCAACTAATTCAGTCGTCGATTCGTTGGTGACGTCATCACATGTGTTCTACACCCCGTTAAGCTCCAACGTTATCGCTCTTTTTTATCGGTACAGGAGACATTTAAAACATATATGTCATATGTATTATTGCTACATAAACATTATATCGCAGTCTTAGTGTCGCCAACTCGTTTCTAATGCAATATGACTACAAAATGCGTCTATAATGTATTTTCGATCTTCCCAATTCAGACGAAAGATCTCTCCCCCGCCTGCTTGAAGATCGAAAATACATTATAGACGCATTTTGTAGTCATATTGCATTAGAAACGAGTTGGCGACNGTATCGGCCGATACCGATCGCCGATCCGATCGAGTGGGCGAGGCCTATGGGGATCTTCCATTTAAAGTGAGTCAGTTAATGGGGCTCATTCACTGGCGCTTCAACAAACAACAACCAACATAATTATTACTTTCAAATGAAGTACGGTACATTATTCAAGTTTACATTAACTTTGGAGAATAACACGGGAGAAAGCGTTCTCTTTTCCCCTCTCCCCTGACAACCTGTCAGTATCTCATGCAGCTCACTGATCCAGTAGTGAGTGACCCGGCAGTGAAGAATAAAGATATTTATAACTAGTTTTGTTCCAGAGGTAGATAAAATAGCTAAGTGTGTTAGGTCTGACTTTTAGTGTGTGTTTCGCTCACCGGTCCGTCACAGCGGGCAGAGCTGCAGGATTTCTGCTTCACACACGTTGCATACCGCTATTTTACTGTCTTTTTCGGACACCTTAAAATACCGG